GTTTCGGATTTGGGTTATTGAATTTTCAAGTTTTTAACCTGGTGTGGGGTTTTTAGTTTCTAACTTTCTGAAGCTAAAAGTTTTCCCCTTTTTGCCTTTGCGATTGCTGATTATTTACTTTGGTGATTTAAAAAATGAGATATTGGAAAATTTGTTTCAGAAGGATATTGGTATGGCAGAAAAATGATATTAGTTAGCTCTCGGCAACCTTTTCGAGAGCGGTCAGGTGCAAAAAGCTCTGAGAGAAATTACCGACCATCTTAATATTTGAAAGTTACCTTAATTTTGTGGTTCATACTAGAGCAGCACTTACTGCGGAAACATGTGTTCTTGTCAGAAATCTCCCTGTTTTAAACGACAAAACTGTTTTGAAGGACTTGTCAAAATTGCTTCCAAAGGTTCGGTGCGGAGTTTAACGGAACTATCCTGGATTAGTCAAAATTATCTATTGCCGGGCGGCCTTTGAAGGTTTTCGAGATATTGGAAGCAAAGATTTAGACGTTAGTGTCTTTTCTATGCAACAGGTTTAGGCTTAACCGCAGTACTGAGTCCGGACTTACACACAGTTGAATTTGTACTGAAACTGGGTCAGCCCTTTAACCACTTTCAAACTAGTTCGCCAATGCCCCCGTCTGTTCTGAATAAAGTTGATAAGCATAACAAACTATTTGTACTCTGGGTGGCAGGTCACATGGAAGTACCTGTTAGTTAAATATGTGATCTTTTGGCTAGAAAGGGCTCAGACCAGTTACTCCTCTGGCAGAATATTTCACTTGGAAAAGTCTGGTAGTCCGTATGGGATTAAGAATGAGTCACAACTCAAAAAATATATGTAGATGATTTTTTTTTGCACAGAAAAAGTCAATCAACTCTTATCGCAATCAAAACTGATTTAAGATATAGCAAGGTTAGCGATGAAAATAAGAGATTCATAAAGTCGGAACCGAAAGAAACTTTGAAATACCTATGATACTACATATAAGGGCCACTCAGGTTGGATAACCAGAGAAGGTACAACTCCAAGTTTTCTTTAAATAATGGCTACTATTTCTAGCAAAGAATCCATCATAAATTCAGTTTTATTAGATCGAATGTTTTCTCTTCAGCTACTTTATATTGTTATAGGCTGTGATGGGTAGTTCATTTTACTCACGTCATGTCATCTAGACACCAAGGAAGTTCAATGAGCTTATGCGAGAACTTAAAAATGTTCAAGAATGATAGAATATAAAATTGCGACAATCGGACAGAGAGCAACCGGGCATGACCTCATCAAACACTGAAAATGAGAGAATAAAGCAGAATTTCTATAGAAGACGAAGAGACGAACATATGCTGCCGGAAGTTTTGACTACTATTCAGCCTTTCTAGTTCCAACGATATACTCGGTACGAGAACACCATTACATCAGATAGAATTGGAACATGACCAAATAATTTATTGGCATTTTTTATTGTGAGAAACTTGTCCAGCAGTCTCCCTCCTTTGTGAAAGGGCGTTCATGGATTAAAGCATGTTTTTGTCTGCTCGGAGAGATTCCTTGCAAGG